TTCCTAAGAAGAAATTCAATTTACATTTGATAGTTCACAACAACTGTACTTGGTCGCAATATTGGAATTTATTGGAATGTTTTGCAGACAGAGTTTCATTAATTTAATTCAAGTTATACAAAGAAAACTACTAGTGCCATCTATTAGATTTGGAGACAACTTTTAAAAAGACACATTGAATAAACAATTAGGCCTATATATATACAGTTTTTTTTTCACTATTTTGAAAATCTATTTCACAGACATCTTCCAGTATCATTAGCAAATTGCAGTTTGTTGTGATTGGTATGAGCTCCATAAGTAGAACTTTGAAAAAGGAGAAGGTTATCATACTAGATGAAAATCATTAATCAATTGGAATTAGATTATGACCTATATAAAGGATTCCATCAACTGACTATGACTTGGAATTGGTTAAATTAAAAATTGAATAATTAATAAAGACAAATGAGAAAAGTGAAAAGCAATTATCTTGTAAAAATAATTTAATCAAATATTCATAAGTCATTTTGAAATGTAGGAGAAAGAGATGATGATATATTTTAGGATAAGTCATTCGTTCAATTGGAGTAAAAGAGAGGCAGCCATTTTAAAAGAAAAACAAAACTTGAACAGTTTATGACAAGCTAAAGAATTGATGAACGATACGATTTAGTTATCCAAAACATAGTATAAAGACTGCCAGTCAATATGCTTCAATATGATGACTATGTAATGGTTTTCTTGGATACAACAGAAAACGTCCCCAAATTCATGATTTAACCCTAACCCTAACCTAGCCCTTGTCTCTCCTTAACCTTTTTGATTGCTCCTAACCCTTAGATGGAACCCCCCCTAACTATAAATCAAAAGCTACTTTACCCCTCCTAACCATTTTTCAAAAATCTCATTTGGGGACGTTTTCTGTCGGCCCCGGTTTTCTTAGCCTTTGCAGGGTCTTCATATAGGTCAAAGAAGCCCTCTTTGATTCTGGATCATAAAGATGTAACCCAGTTTCATCTCCAGTAACTGTTTTTTCCAAAAAGTCTTCTTTTCTATCTTGGAGTAGCTAAGAACAACAATGGCTCACCTTCACCTCATTCTATTAACCCTTTACGATCACATGGGGTCTATTTTGTATAGGTTTTTCTATATCCCAACTCCTTAATCATCTTTCCAACAGCCTCTTATTATATATTCTATTAGATTTAGAGATTGAACCAGCTTTCAATGGCCGACATTTTGAATGACAATTTAATGGTAGAAATCATAATCAATCTTTCATATTTATGAAAATTGCGGACAAAATTACTGCCAAACTGTCTATTCAATATATACAATGTAGGACATTCAGATTTTAAAAACACCCTTTGATGGAATAGCCTTTGGTAAGAAATAAATAGATAGGTATCTCATTCCTCCCAGTTATTTTTATCAATCTATACAATTTGTTCCCTGTTTTTGAGAGCTTTCATCCAATTAGTAGTCGAAAGATGAAGGTTAAAGAGTCTTTACTCTGACGCAGATACTAAATATATAAATAATAAACTACTATAGGGATATTTTATTATTCAGCCAATCAGCGTTGAGCAAATGATAAATATTTATTATTCATTTTTATAATCATTGCTATAATGTAGTTTTGTTTGGTTTGATGCTTCTTTTTCTATCAAAAAATTGTAGATTAATAAAGATGGCGTACGTGAGCATTTATATATCGATATTTTCTGGTTGCGCTCAAATTATTGGCCTACTTTTAAACAGTAATTTAATAATAATTCATACGGTTAATAAAGATTTATGGAAATTACATAACTTTGGTGTGACTGCATTGACATTTACCGATATCTTATATTCAATGACGTTACTCATATTCATAATTCTGCATAATTATGATATAAGCTATTACAGTTGTCTTTGCGGATTTCAAGTTATTTTCTTTGTAGTTTCAATCTCCTGTTTTACATTGACTCTAATCACATTTGAAAAGTTTATGGCAGTTGTAAAACCGTTAACCTTCTCTAAACTATGGACAACTAGAAGGGCTTTTATCCTACTCTCTGCTATATGGTTCTTTAACGTTTTTGTTTGTTCACTTCCGGTTTTAGGTTGGAATCGTTACGAATTAAGTTTGAATAGGAATGATAGTTTTCAATGCGATATTTTAAGAGTTTTCTCATTTTCTTATCTTCACTTTTGGTCGTTTAGTACAGTGTTACCGAGTTCATTTGCAAGCCTTTTACTCTACATTCCCATTCTTCAAGCGATCAGAAGACACAGAAAAAGAATTTCTGATAGAGTGAACGCCGTTAATTTAGAATCTAAAGGCAGTAGTATACCAGTTTTAACATGTCTATTGATAATGAATTGTTTGTTTTGGAGTTTATCAGCCGTATTAATTGTCATTCATTACAATCGACAAGGAATGAAATATACTCTTTCTGATTCCCAGTTTATATTACTATTTGATTCATTTACGGCGATTATGGCTTCAAATTCAACAGTAAACCCGCTGGTTCACGGCTATACTAAATCCTCTATAAGAATTCAAACAAAAACATTCTATAAAAATATTATGGGGAGGATTTCTTCTAGAAATGTAGATGTCGCTTTGGTCGAGTAATATTATTTAAATGAATGGTCCAATAACCACGTGGTTATTAATTTAATTTCAAGGGTTAGTTCAACGAATAATTTGCATTAACAGAATATGACTAATGAAGGAAAGTTGAAATGCTTCATCTGCTTCGCCGCTTCTAAACAGCAGATGGAAAATTTGAAGAAGTTTATCAAAGATCAGAATATAATCGTTTTAAAGGGAACGCTTATGCTCAAATTCCTCCTATTCATTCAAAATGGAGAATTTTTGATTGGACGGCAAAACATCATAAAATATATGATTATTTGTTCAATTAAATTTGACCAAAGGCATTTATTGAATGGTTTTGTGGGTTTTAATGCTTAAGTCTTTTCTTTTGCTTATATAAATCTATTATTTAACATTTCATATTTCTTATTCCATAATATATATATAAACAATAAATATGTCTATTCAATTGGATTTGTTAGGTAATTCCAAACTGTTTGTATTATAGGAATAGAGATGTCGCTACTGTAGTTGGAATACAATATAATCTATAAGAGGAAATTAACAATATAATAATGGCTGACGGATAAAATCTATTAATTAATTTATATGCCAAATACTTTCAAACTAATAGATATATTGTTTATTCAAAAAGAAAAATGGTAGTACATTTAAAGTAGGTCACACTTTTCGTCCAAGTTGAATAGTATACTTTAAGCTAACATACAATTCGGGACAGCACGGATACTTTTTCTCTGGATGAACAACATTACTGTCGACAATCTCAAAGTCCTTATTTTCGTACATTTCCAAATCCAGTTTAACATAAGATTTATATCATTTGTGCTATAAGTCCAAGAACCGACGTCGGCATCGTCGTTGCCGTCAACTTACAACATATTTCTTGGAAGGGACAACAAGAATGAAACCATTATAATATACAACTGCCAAAGGTTTGATTAGATAATCTTCACGCTCCAACCTGAATAATTCAAAAATAGAAATGGAAGGCTGCTGTATTTATACATTAGGCCTATGCCTTGTAGAACTCGGAGGTCACAAATCGATATCGAGGCCAGAATTTCTGGCTTAGTAGCAACAGCATTAGAATATTTTAAATTGAATATTAAAAAATTTGTAACTTGTAAGATTTTAAGAATAATACCGAAAAACCGAGTAGTCTGGCTACCTGATCCGAATCTAAAGAAAATATTTTGTTTAGTTTGTCAATGTTTTATTATGTGAGATCGCAATTCTAATCCTTTGCAGAGATGTTTGTAATTTGAAAAATATTTGAAAGGAAATAAAACGGCAAAGATTTCTTTAATAATTCAACGGACGTTGTTGTTGTATTGCGCAGCAGTGATTTTTCATTTTCTCTCATCCATTGCAAACCTTTTTTGAATAGAAGAATAAATGAATGAATTGAAAACATTTTCTCTTCAAAATGTTTACATTCTTCAAGATTTACTGTTATTGCATAATTAACTTGTTGTTCTCTATGAAAGAGAGAAAAAGAGTAAATTATTAGGCCTACGTATCTGGAAAAACTGTTTCCCTGAATACTTTACATATGTTTCTTGAGTTTAGCCTGATTCCTTTCATAATACAATTTCACATCCCTTAAAGTGTATATAAAGGGATTGATGATTGAATTTAATGGTAGGATGACAACAACAAACATAATATAGATTTCCTTCTTCAACACCAAATGAAAGAGTACAGAATATATTCCTGAACAAAGGATCGTTCAAGAGACGTTTGTTTATTTGTTTGTTTGAATTACCTAACAAGGAGATTGGAAACCAACAACATAAATTTGTAGCAACAATGATAAAAGCATTAAATTTGAGTTTCTTTTGTTGAGTTTTAAATTGATTTCTATTAATTAATCTCTTTCTATCTAAAGTTTGCTTCCATATTTTAATATAAAATATTAAAATTATTATGCAAATTAGTGATATTAATAGGCCGAAAACTATGAATGAAAAACCCCATCCTTTGGCTTCTTCACTCGTTATATGTAAAGTACAGCAGATTGGACTTTTTGAAAAATACATCTAAACAGAGATAAGGATAATAATTATTAATTTTTCATATATATGTATAAAGTCAAGGCCTATAATACCCGGACACTGTAAATTCTGATATGCCAATTTTGAAAACACCCCAAAAATGTTATCTTTGTTTTAAATTGGTTTTTTTTGTCTAAATTTCCATGAAGAAAGAGTTATATTTATGTAATACTGAAAAAAATTATAGAAAATTATCATATTTGTGAAAATTATTAGCAAAATTTATTTATTAATTTTCATTGTATATATAATCAATGTCTTTGTTGTAATTTGTTACACTAATGTCAAATTCATTCAGAATTATGATTTCCTGTCAACTAATGCAGTCCCTTATCAAAGTTTAACAGCAGGTGTTTGGAAAGAAAGTGACCGTTCAGTTTGAAGAGGCTATGTATGCAGTATCTGGAAAGGTAGGGGCTAGCAGAAAATGTCCTCAAAGGTTAGGCAGAGACAAGAGCTAGGTTAAAGTTAGGGTTAAACAATGCATTTGGGGATGCTTTCTGTCTTATCCAGAAAGGTATATACCATTACATGTAAAGCTTATCACAAAAACATGTTTTTGAGTTGTCCTTCTTTTAATGTATTTTAAGATTAGGATTTTAGACCTTTGTTGACTTGCTTTTAATTATATATTTGAACTCAGATCAAATTAATTTGACATCTACAACCCCTCCAAAGAAAACAATTTGTCAGAAAGGAGAATTTCTAGGGGATGGATGTTATAGTATACAAAAAGACAAGAAAACCTGGAAAGAATCTTTAAATTCCTGTAAAAATCAGGTAAATCAATTGATTGTTTATTAACAATTATTTTCTATTAAGTGTTACACTTTTTAGGAAATGAATTTGGCTTCTGTTCATTCTATGTCATTAAATGAAGGACTACATTATCACATTTGGATTGGAATGTATAGGAATAATGCTACAGACTTATATAACTGGAGTGATCATACAACAGTGGTTTTACAATTTGGGATGTATATCCTGGAGATGAAGATCACTGTGTGGCTCTTTCACCAAATGGAAAATGGAAAGGCTTTCCTTGTAGCACAAAGCTTGAAAGTATATGTAAAATACAAGCTGGCATTCCACTGACAACCTCTTCTGTTCATGGACTTTGCCCTAATAGTGAAAAGTGGATCAGTCATGGCAGTTATTGCTATCTGTTTGATGAACACAAAACCAACTCATTTAAAGAAGCACTTCATGGATGTATTCGAAAAGGCTGGAGCAAAAGCAGACTGGTCAGTATTAAGGACCTTTCAGAACAAGTTTGGCTAGCTATGATGGCTAAAAGATATCCAAATACTGTTAGTTTGAAGATTGGTCTATTTTGGAAAGACTATGGCTGTCCATATAACTGGATGGATAACACTCCTCTAACATTTCAATTTTGGAGCAGGACTGGTCATAAACAGGGCAAATGTGTTGTGCTTTATAATGGTGGGCATCAAGAAACATCTGGCTCCTGGAGGAGACGCTTGTGTAGTGATAGCCATTCAACATCAGGTTACATATGCAAAGTTCCAAAACTGCCTTATCCAACAACTCCTAGCCCAGAATGAGGACATTGTCCCACAAAACTTTCTCAATCTGGCATTTGGAAAGTGTTTGATAATAAATGTTTTGTATTTGAAATGAAAATATTTGTAAATTTTGAAAAGCATTTTGCAGAAGAATTAATGGCACTTTAGCAGAAGTAACATCATTTGAAGAAAATTTTTTCATTGAAAAATATGCCACAAAATAATTACCTAATTTTATGGAGGGATTATGGATTGGCCTAAAGAGAGGAAATAGTGGTAATTATATTTGGGAAAATGGAAATCACTTAGGTTTTTGATATTTTTATCATATTGATGACAGAGAAGGACATTGTGTGACATTATGTACTTCTTTGTATGGCCATCGGAGAAGCCATATTTGCTCTGAAAATATCTTTCCCTTTGTATGCCAAACTGATCTGATAAAAGGTATAAATCTCTACTCTTATATTATCTATTCTCTTATTATCTATTGAGCTCTTATCTTTTCTATCTAATATCTTAAACTTGTGTACAGTTTTCATTAGATATAAACACAAAGATTGTGACTTCTGATGATAGAACTGGTTTAAAAATTGGACTTGGCATTGGCTTAATAATTGCTATTTGTATTCTCATTGGAATTTTTGGTGGTATAATTTATACATGGCGCCAATCTTCAAAATTTCCAATTAAAAAGCTTTCCAGTAGAACATATAGTTTTGTTAGCTCAATGGAAATGTCTAAACATTGTAAAAATGAAACTTGACAAGAGTGTACAAAAAATAAAGGTCAATTAATATCTTAAAATGTCTATTTTATGAATAATCACTTTTAATGACTGTTGACAATCGATTATATTCAACAAATGATATCCTTGTGGAAAAATTGTCATATAATGTTTTCTTCAATAAAATTTAGGGTTATAAAGGGAGGTGAAGGTGAACAGTAATTTTTAGATTATGAAAAGTATGATAATATTATATATAAATACTGAAGGAAAATTATGTATGAGAAGAATGAGACAGACATCAAGTTTTGAAAGTATGAGCAGATCAGGATTGTTAAAATTAAAAATAGGTGATACTGTTTTAGTTCCCAATTTCCCCTAAGGGTTTTGGGTTGAAAAATGGTTAGGAGTAAAGTAGCTATTGATTTGTAATAGAGGGCTTTCATCTAAGGGCTTAGGGGTATTCAAAAAGGTTAGAGAGAGACAAGGGCTAGGTTAGGGGTAGGGTTAAACAATGCATTTACATATCCCAATAACACATATTCAAAAATTTTAAACATAGACATGCACAGATGATCTCAAGTGTATATTAGTATTAAAAACTTGAATCTCTTCAAAAGTTGTTGAGCAATTGAAAAATTTTTCGTTTTTGAAAAATGCATTCTTTTCTGGCAGTTGTATCTCATCACAGAGTTTTAAATTTCCATTTAATAGCTCTTTTTTATTAACTATCACTGCCTGATCATCTTCAATCTCAGATGAATGTTTTACCATAAAGAAATTATCATTTTGTGGCCTTGGCAAACTTGTAAGATTTAAAACAAGCTCTGAAGATTGTATTTCACATATTTCCAATTCATTTCTTCTAGGATCATCTTTTAAAAGAAAATTTAAGAAAATAAATATAGGAAATTTTAGAGAAATAAACACGATTTACAAACATTCTTTTGATGCAATTGTTGTTGCAGAAAGTTCAATTTCAAAAATTGGTCTTTTCCTTAAAGATAAAAGTTTTAAATATTTTGAGAATACAGTGTTAAAAGTTCCACAAGTTGTATGTTGTGATAAAAAATCTCCCTTTATTTTTGTAGTTACAATTTCATTTTTAAAATAATCTGTAATTTCTACAGTTTCATCATCAGCAGCAATGCCTTCATTAGAGCCTGGAAAAAAATATGAATAAATTTTAAAAGCTGAATTAAAGACAAAGAATTTTTACATACAAGATATGCAAATTGTATTTAAGTAGATTAAATCAGTTAATATTTCTATTTCAATATTTACATCTTCCAATAATGAAGAAGATAAATAATATACTGCATCTTGCATAATATTTAATATATCTGTACTGACGTCACTTCCGTCTCTTATAATCTTTTTAATAACATTTTTATAAGTTGTTAAGGAAACTGTTGAACAGGTAAAGAATTAATATTATCAAAAAAATGATTTTTAAAATTTACCATGAGTTTTTGCCTTATTCAATAATTTAGCATACATATAGAGTTCATTTATATCTATTGTTCTCTTTGAACTTGATCCTTCCAAGTAGAGGTGAAAAAGGAAATACTTACCAGAATACACTTCATCACATTTGACAACCAATGATTCATGCATTCCAGATTTTGCATATGTCTTTCCTTTACTGCAAAACTTTGCATCAATCTGATAATTTGTATCCGGTATCATTTTCACAGATGTATATAAATGATTCATAAAATTAGAACCCACTATGTAATTTAAACAATTTACTATTTTTTTAAATATTTAAATATAGTCGAATCATTGTGTTCTG